CAAAGATCTCCAAAGTCAACAGGAACAGATCAAAAAGTTGAGGGGGGGGGAGGCCCAGATTAAGAACTAAGATCAGTGGCTGAGTCTCTGGATTCAAAGTTAATTTGAATTAGGACATTTTCAAACACTCTTCTAGGTGAGATCAGTAGTCCACAAACTCAGGATTCCATTTTGAACAGTGGCTCCAAAGGCCCTGATTGGAAGACAGTATCCCTGGTGCTAATGTTGATCCATCAAGGATGCCTGTGGCTTGCTTTTCCTCAGCATCTCTAAAGGAACTGCTAGTGAGAATGTCAGTGAATATATTGTGACCGGTTTGGGAGGTGTTTCCATTTTAAATCTTTACAACCTGCTTGGGATAATAAGCTGTCTATGCTCTTCCCAATGTCAGAGAAACACACTCCATATGGAAACAAACCCAGATACAAAATCCACCCTTCGAGGCCAGAGCATCAAAATACTCATAGATAAACCAGTCTTCACTTTTGAAAACTCTTTTAGGACCAGAGAATTGGCTCAGTGGTGGAGAGCACTTGTTTTTGTAAAGGACTCTGGTTTGATTCCCAGTACCCCACAGGGAGGCTCATCACTTCCTTAGGCACCAGGCAAGGCACATATGTGGTACACAGATATGCATACAAGGCAAAGCACTCATACACACAAAATAAAATAAATATAAATATATGTAAATGAATGAATAAATAAAACCGAAATTTAAAAAATCAACAAAACAAACAAACAAATCTGCTTTAAAAAGAGGTAAAGTTGGGGAAGAAACTCATCTTTCAGAGCAGATTCCTAAAGCTCAAACTGTGCTTTAACAATGAAAGCAAAGTCAAAAGGGGCTTCTGATTAGCCCCAGCCCCTACAGTGTGGAAGAAACTTCCAGAAACTCTGACCAGACTCACTAATTAGCTCGTCTTACAATAATGCTGCATTTCCGGAGTCAAAAGTTTATGTGGGCACTCATGATTTCCTTAACTTAAAACCAGCTTCCCAATCTCCACTTTCCAAGGATCCAGGATTACATTTTTTCTATATAATTTTATGTGTGTGGGTGTTTTGCCTTCAGTTATGTCTGTCCACCACGTGTATGCCTGGTGCCCTTGGAGGTCAGAAGAGGGCACTAAATTCCCCCTGGAACTAAGGGGACCAACAGTGTCAGTAGCCATGTGGGGCATTAAGAATCAAGCCCAGACAGGATCCTCTTGAAGAGCAGAAAGTGCGTTTAGCCACCGAGCCATCTCTCCAGTCCCCAGGATTATGGTTTTTAACAGTGGACATTACCAACCATAGATGATGCACTAATGGAAGACTATGGATGACATATAAACAGATCTTACTTGAACTGGGAAGATAGCTCAGTGGGTAAAGAAGTCCTGTGCTCAGATTCTCGGCCCCCATATTTAAAAAAAAAAAAAAGAGTATAGCGATGTATACATAATAACTCTAGCACTGGAGAGCAAAGTACAGGGGCATCATGGGAAATACAGAGCAGCCTGGGCCAGTTGACTCAGCTAGCTACCTGAGAGACCATGTCTGGAAAAAAAGCAGTGGAAAGCGACTGAATAAGGCATGTCAGCATCCATTTCTGCGGTCCGCATGCACTGCACACAGGTGCACGTGTCAGCACACATGTGCAAACACATTCATAACCCCCCAACACAGAGAATCCTGCTCAGGCAAAGCCAGCTATATCATCCACAGCTTCATCTAGGAGCTAATTCCGAAATACCACCCAAAGTTTTCTTAGCTACATAGCAGGAACTGTCACTGGAAGACAATTCCAATTTAGCCTTAAAGGCTGCCAGGAAGAGCCAGAAGGCATAGACTATAAGGAGGATTGTATCCTAAATTGACAAAACACCATGCTCTGTGGGCTGTAAATGCTTTAAAAGACTTGTAAATTAAAAGCAGCAAGCTTGATGTCAAAAGAGAGGAAGCACACAAAAGGAGAAGAAAGAGGAGGAGGAGGAGGAGGAGGAGGAGGAGGAGGAGGAGGAGGAGGAGGGAGAGAAGAAGGAGGAGAAATGCTCAAAGTCACTTTAAACACTTCTGTGTAAAATATAAAGGAAAAGTGGGAAGAGACATTGCATAGCTTCATGCAAGTTTCAGTGATGCCGTACTTTATATCAGGCATTTTTGAGCGTTGTGGTCCTGTGATGGTCTGGGAAGCAAACGTGAATGGAAATACGGAAATGTGGCTACTTTATAAATCTAAGGCCAGTTTTCAGTTTCAGAGAGTCTAGGTTTCAACAGTGAAAAGGTTACAAGAAACAATGTTTATGGTTTTTGTTTTGTTTTTCTTTTCTGATGAACGCCATCAAAGACACATTTTGTAAAGATGGGAGAGAGAATCCAACCGGTCGGAGCACACGGAGAAGACTTAGCAACACAGATGAAGATGGGCAGGAACCAAAGAGGAAGCTGGAGATGGTCTTGTAAAAAGCGGGTCACGCTAAAGGGTTTCCTGCCACTGCAAACCTGACTCATTTTCATCCAGAGCCGCCTCTTATTGATACACTCTGTGTTCTCCCTCTCTCTCTCTCTCTCCATTTTAACTCAATCTTCCTGCTTCCTCTTATTCAAAGTAATACAGTAATATAAAAATCTATTATTAGCGATAAATCAATTTCTCTCTCGTTCTCTCTCCACCCACTCCTTCCCACCCCCCTCCCCCAAGTCTCTAAGACAAGTCTGGACCAATTTCTCCATCCTGCCTCTGGCAGCAGACTGGAGCACTTCAGATCCTCTACCACGTCCCGGCTGCTTCAAAGGAAAAATCCTACTTTCTTCAGTTAAGATCATAAGAAATATAGGGGGAGGGGGTCAGCTCTGTTTGGACATAATTACACTTCATCAAAAGAGCCTTCCTTCATCTTCCATGCGTGAAAAGTCTGCAAGCAGTTAAGTCTGTCTTTTTTTTTTTAATATAAAAATTGCTATTTGGGAAACCAGCCAAAACTCAGAAAGCCAATATAGTAAAACAGCGCACACCCTTTGTTTCCTTTTGAAGTTTCTTAAATAAATATGTTGAGGGTTTACAAAGTACACTATCACTCTGCCATAGTTTCTAGTCAAATTGATCAGGGAAAAAAAAGGGAGGGGTGATTTAGCATCTATATAACATGTGATTTAGCATCTATATAACACAGAAGTACAATAAATGAAAACACAAGTTTGGATCTGTAAAATAGAATTAAGAGTAGCACCCCATCCTTTAAATACTAAAATTCACTGCTCCAGTTACAGTAACAGGAGAAGAAAGGCGCAGTTTAGAGCATGCAGCTACGTCATCCTGTTTACATTTAGAGCATACAGGTGCCTCATTGTGTTTACTTTTTTTTTCCCCAGGAGGAAAAAGGAGAAACTTTTAACTGTATAGGGACCCTGCAACAGTAACCAAAAGAATAAACAAAAGCCTAAAAGAGTAGAAGAAAGGATGAGTGACTGTCTGAACCCACCCCACACCCTCCAAACCTAGTCAGGAGATAGAAGCTGTTCTTCCTCTTCTAATGAAGGAGCACAAAGGAGCAGAGGAGGCCTCTAGTTAGGTGCTGTCAGAGGCTCTGAACTTCATTTCAGCAGAAACCACCTTTCAGCGACAGCATCTCATTAGCATCCTTTTTGTCTTAAGTTAACCACTTGGCCCCATTCCTAGAAAGTAACTAGAACTCCTCATCGGAAACAGTCTTGCTTAAATTTCCCTTATCAAGTTTTTACAATGGTAATAATTTGACATACGATCCAAACTAGAGAGTAATTATTAGACACAGTTTAGAGTAGTGTTTCTCATTTCCTGACTAAAACCTGGGCTGCAGCAAATGCACAGGCTCCATGGTTTCCCTTCACCTCAGTCCTAAAGTGGTCCCACTTTTTTTTTTATTTTCTTCTTAGTGTAATACTTAAGGAAATATTAGATCCAATAAATTGAATGAGCATAATACTTCTGACAGGTGAATAGCCAATAGAAGGCTCCCTGGAGAATAAGTAAAAAACAAAACAAAAAAAAACCCAAAGTATTGGTCTCCTTAGAGACTCCAGCAAAAAAATAATTCCATCTCTGAAACTGTGGTGAAAAATCCTTTAAAGGATTATTTCCTGCTTTCTGATTCTGCTAAATGCTTCTAATATCTTAATGTGGATTCAGCTGATTGAAGACCCTAAATACTGTGAAACCATTGAGATCCCTAGGAGTTGTCTAGGCAATTTTATAGTCATTCTTCTTAGTAGTCTGAAGCCAGCCTGGTCTACATAGTAAGTAGCCCAGGCCAGCCAGGGCTACACAATAAAGACCTTGTCAAAAAAAAAAAAAAAAAAAAAAAAGAGCTTAAATAAGTACTTGAATCAATTCTCATTACAAGAATAATTGAAATCATTCACAGGTGACATTGCTAAAGGACAATAGCGCTCCAACTCAGAGTAAAGTTGAAGCTGTCAGGAAACGTCTCCGAAGCAATCGCTTTCCTTTCCCTATTACCTCTCAGTCCACTTGAGTCACGTGACTCCTCATAATTCAGACCCTGATCCTCCAAGCATTCTTTTCCCTACTGTACATGCTAACCCCCCATGAAATTAGGAACAAGTTCTTTTGAGAACACTGTTTGACTCTTCTATATAATAAAACAAATGAAAAAGGCCTAACTACTCAGGAGAACACTCAAGGGCATCTGGATTTATTTAAGCAAACCTACGGTGGTTATTTCAGGAAGAAGGAGAAGAAGAAGAAGAAGAAGAAGAAGAAGAAGAGGAGGAGGAGGAGGAGGAGGAGGAGGAGGAGGAGGAGGAGGAG